AAAAGCAAAAATAAACAAATGGGACCTAATGAAACTTAAAAGCTTTTGCACAACAAAGGAAACTATAAGCAAGGTGAAAAGACAGCCCTCAGATTGGGAGATTGCATTTCTCTGATAATGAGTGATGTTGAGCATCTTTTCATGTGTTTGTTAGCCAGCCCTCAGATTCAACTCCAGAAAAATAAATGACCCAATCAAAAAATGGGCCAAAGAACTCAACAGACATTTCTCCAAGGAAGACAATGGAGAAGACTCTTGAGAGTTCCTTGGACTGCAAGGAGATCCAACCAGTCCATCCTAAAGGAAATCAATCCTGAATATTCACTGGAAGGACTGATGCTGAAGCTGAAACTCCAATACTTGATGTGAAGAGCTGACTCATTTGAAAAGCCCCTGATGCTGGGAAAGATTGAAGGCAAGAGGAGAAGGGGACGACAGAGGACGAGATGGTTGGATGGCATCACCAACTCGATGGACATGAGTTTGAGTAAACTCCGGGAGTTTGTGATGGACAGGGAAGCCTGGCATGCTGCAGTCCATGGGGTCCCAAAGAGCCGGACATGACTAAGTGACTAAACTGAACTGAACTGAGTATTCCATTGTATATGTGTATATATATATATATATATGTACCACATCTTCTTTATCCATCCATCTTAGGTTGTTTCTCACGACACTTAGGTTCTATGTCTTGGCATTTATAAATAATGCTGCTGTGAACACTGGGGTGCATGTATCTTTTCAAATCAGTGTTCTCATTCTCTTCAGACATACTCAGGAGTGGAATTGCTGGGTCATATGGTAGTTCTATTTTTAGTTTTTTGAGAAACCTCCATACTATTTTCCACAATGGCTGCACCAATTTACATTCCCACCAACAGTGTACAAGGATTTCCTTTCCTCCACATCCTCACCGACATTTGTTATTTATAGACCTTTGGATGATCGCCGTTCTGACAGGTGTGAGGTGATGCCTCATCGCGGCTTTGTTTTTCTCTCATAATTAGTAGTAGTGAGCATCTTTTCATGCTCATCATGTGCATTTCTTCTTTCGAAAAATGTTTAGTTCTGCCCGTTTTTAAATCAAGTTGTTTTTTTGATATAGAGTTGTTATTATACTCCGTTTACATTTACAAAATATTGGCTATATTCTCCGTGTTGTATAATATATCCTTGTAGCTCATTTTATACATTTATACACAACAATTTGTACCTCTTAATCCCCTCCTCCTATATTGCCCCTTCTCACTTCTCTCTTCCCACTGGTAACCACTTTTTTTTGTGAGTCTGCTTTTTTGTTACATTCACAAGTTTTTTGTATTGTTTAGATTACATATATAAGTGATAGCATGCAGTATCTTTCTCTGTCTTACTTACTTCACTTAGCATAATACCCTCCAAGTCCATTCAGGTAAATGGTAGGCAAATGGCAAGTTCTTGCTCTTTTGTATGGCTGAGCAGTATTCATTGTGCGTGTCTATGTGTACATATGCATATATACCCATGTGCTGTGCCCAGTCGCTTCAGTTGTGCCTGACTCTTTACAACCCCATGGACTGTAGCCCGCCAGGCTCCTCTGACCATGGGATCTTCCAGGCAATAATAATGGAGTGGGTTGCCATGCCCTCCTCCAGGGGATCTTCTGAACCCACGGGCTGAACCTGAGTCTCCTGCCTCTCCTCCAATGTGGGCAGATTCTTTATCACTGAGCCACAGGGAAGCCCATACACTTATATCCATATCTATATATATTTGGGTGCTTCTTAAAATTTTCCAAACTTTGTATAGTGAATAAGTATCTCTGTAAAACAACAAAACAAAACAAAAAACAGAACAAAACAAAAACCTAGGAGCTGCGAGAAAGCTGGTGGACCTCAAAGCCCAGAGAATGAAATCAAAGCAGTTCTAGTGCCTCAGTGAGCAGCTAACAGCTATTGTGTGTAACTCTATAGGGGACAGGAAGTGTTTTCCTTCGGTTAGGTTTAGTTACCATAAAACCCATATGGAGAAAAGTTGAAAAAAGTCTGGTTTAGAAACCAACACAACAAAAGTTTACTATAATATTAACATATTATTAAATTGACAGAAAGGTTAAATTTTTGAAAGCCAATACTCAAAACAATGCGGTAAAACATTATGTATATTCTCATATACGACATATATTCATGTATACATTTTTATTGGTGATGCATATCAGCACAATCCTTTTTGAAAGTAATTCAGCAATATGTATGAACAACCATAAAAGTGCATGTTCAAAAGGGAATAGCCACTGTGAAACAGTTTGGCCGTTTCCGATAAAATGAAGCATACAACTATCATTCAACCTAACAATTGCACTCATGGGCATTTATCCCAAGAGAAAGAAAAACATTTAAAAGCCTGTACATGTATGTGCATAGCAGCTTTATTCATGATGGCCCCTAACTGAAAACAACCCAGATGTTCTTCGAAGGATGGAGATAGACAAACCATGGAAATTCAGCAATATAAAGGAATGAAGTAGTTATATACATGCATGATACATGCAACAGCTTGGATCATCTCCAGGGAATTATGAGTGAACAAGGAAATCCCAAGAAGTCACACACTGTTTTCCATCTTTGAAGGATCTCCACTCTGGAAATAACAAAAGTATAAAGATAGAGAAAAGATTAGTAACTACCAGGGAGGGGTGAGAAGGAGGGAAGTGCGGCTGTAAAAGGGCATTTGAGGGATCCTTGGGGTGAAGGACTGTCTTGTATGTGACGGTCAATGTTGATATTTCAGTTGTGATACTATACTAGTTTACAATATGGTACCATTGGGGAAACTAAGTAAAGCATACTTGGTATCTCCACACGCTTTTTTCTAACCTATTTATTTATTTGGCTGTGTCAAGGGTTAGTTGCCACACTTGGAATCTTCCATCTTTGTTGAGGCATGTAAAACACCATTCCCTGACCAGGGATCAAACCCAGACCTCCGGTCTTGGGAGCCCCAAGTCTTAGTAGCTACTGAGTCACCAAGGTAGTCCCTCTGCACTATTTCTTACAACTACTCATGTATCTACTGTTACTTCCAAGTAAAAAAAAAAATTAAAGTCCATCTTCTTTTGACCAGTTATCATAAGCCTGGAAATTCATCCTAGGAATAGAATCCAAAAGACTCAAGTACTTTAAAGGCACCAGATGCTCAAAACAGCGGTATTTTCAACAGGATAAAGGAACCATTTTGTGTCCAAACAGCGACACACAAATCATGACACAGCCACCCAAGAATTACGCAGTTGTTTGATGTAGCCACAAAGAAATGCTATTTGAAAAGGGAGGTTTCAAAATTGTGGTACAATATGAAATCTCTGTGATGGGGCTGGAATATATTGCAAAAGTTTTAATAGTTACTCTGTGTGAAATTCTAACAAATGTTTCCCTTCCCTCAAGCTATCTCTAAAGTTACATGGTTTTGGAAGCGAACGACAGTAAAGGCATTTTTTATGTTTAATTACAAACATCAGAGTCACGACGAAAGTTCGTTAAATCTGTCCCTCCCAGTAGAACGAACTTCGTTTTTCAGGTTCCAGGACTGGAACAAGCGTGTATACAAGGACCCACAGTCACAAGCCTAGGGCAGGTGCGATTAGGCACCCGCTTCAACCGCTTCAGCTGCTCCAGCGCTGTGCTCACGGCCCCACGTCCTCAGTCCCACCCCAGGACCCCACCAGGAGTCCGATGGAGATCCCCAAACGAGGGCGAGGACCCAGCCCGGAGGTGCAGTGACCACTCCAAGGCCATCACCAAACCGGCGATCGAGGCTCGGCCGGACCCAGCCTAGAGCTCCAGGGCTCGGAGTCGGGGTCTCGCTCTCTGCCCCGCATCTCCGCCCCATCCCGAGTCTCGACCCCGAAGCTCCCCAGTCCCACGTTGCGTCCAGACGGCCTCCCGGCCCCCAGACCTGAGCTGGGCGCCCCCACCTTATGCCCGGGGCCAAGACTCCGCGAACGTACCCTTCCCCTAGACCCTTCCCCTCTTCTTTTTTCGCCCTCTCAACCCAGCTTTTCCCGACTCCGGGAAGAACCGGGAAGAGAAGGCGGAGGGGAGCGAGACGCCGCGGGATAAATACTGTGGCCCGGCCCCGCCCACCGACCTCACTTCCGCCCCGCGACAAGATGGCGGCGCCGGGGCCCTGCCACGCAGACTTCCGCCCGGCGCCGAGACTCGGAACACGCTGCGCGTCGCGTCGGAGGTGAAATCGGGACCCGCGTGGTGTGGAACTACGGCCTGGGTGCGGAGGAGTGCGTCTTTGCCTCTTGCCTGGCCGGGGGCCTGGGAGAAGGCAAGCCAAGGGCCCTGGCCGGGGTGGTCGGGGGAGCCCCGCCACGTGGGAGGGGGAGGAGCTGAGTCGCTGCGGGAGGGACGCGCCGACTGGGGGGCGGGAGGCCACGTGGGTGGGGTTCCGCTCAGGGTCCGCGAGTCCTTCCTCCTCGAGTGACTTCGTTACCCCTTTTCGCCTTCTTTCCCAGGCATCATGTCGGAAGGAAACGCCGCGGGCGAGCCCAGCGCTCCGGGAGGGCCCCGACCCCTACTTTCTGGGGCGCGGGGGCTTATTGGGCGAAGGCCGGCACCTCCCCTCACCCCGGGCCGCCTTCCCTCCATCCGCTCCAGGGACCTCACCCTCGGGGGAGTCAAGAAGGTACCCGACGGCACCTTTCTACAGAAACCCAACTACGCTGAATTCCAGGCACCGGGGTGTTTGACTGTAGGGCCTACCGTGCGCCAGGCGTGGTGTTGGGCCTTGAGAATCTGGTCTTCAGACTTCCGCTTGCAATTTCTGGGTAGCTTGCCCTGCATTCAAGTCAAGATACTGGGTCTGAGATGTTGACATGGCTCTCAGAGATGGCTGAAGAACAGAATCCTAGTTAGCTCAGAAGCAACTTGAGCAGGATTTATTTCCTTTTGGTGTGTCTTGGCTACCTTTCAGAAACCCATGATAGCCACGCAGACATAAACTTTGCCTGCAGTTTAAGAGCGTTCTGAATTTGCCCTGGATCCCAGTATGCAGACTTCTGGTCCAAAGTATTGAGTCTTAGATGTGATATTAGAGCCTCTGTGTCTTCTATTATGTTTGTGACTGTAGATATGAAGGGTAGACTGTAAAGAGTGGGGAGGATGACAGAGCATAAAACAGCCAGTTTTTGAAGACCTGTTTCCCTTTGTAAATTCTGGTGGCAGTCTAACCCAATCATCAGTTTGTGAGTGCTGGCAGATCTGTCTTTCCCATTTGAACCTTGCTGGTAGAGCTAAGTCTCTATAATACTGTCTGGTCTTCATAGCAATTTGAAGATGAAGTGTGAGAGTAGGTAAATTCCTCTGCTTTTAGAGTCATGAGGGCTGTCCTTTCAAGAGGCAGAGACTGAGGCTGCCATTTAAATGTTTTTTGATGCCCGCTTCTATATATAGCTTCACCATCCCCTTGGCATGACATTGCTCATTTTCAAGCACCTGTCCATTTCAGTAGATATTTGACAACAGTGTGGAATGTGCCGAAGAGAGCCATATTGGTCTTCATCCATAGAAGATGCCCTTTGGAAGTTTTTCTTTTCCTCTGTACTTTGGGACCAGAATTTACCGAATCAGTGACTCCTGTATTTTACTTTCAGAAAACCTTCACCCCAAATATCATCAGTCGGAAGATCAAGGAAGAGTAAGTAGCTAGGCCTCCTGAATACTCGCGCCTTGTTTGTGCGTGTGTGCTCAGTCGCTCACTTGAGTCCGACTCTTTGCCACCCCATGGACTGTAGCCCGCCAGGCTCCTCTGTCCATGGGATTCTCCAGGCAAGAATACTGGAGTGGGTCGCCATTCATCCCAACCAGGCCTCCACATAACATTGAGCAGAGTTCTATGTGCTATACAGCAGGTCCTTGTTGGTTATACATTTTAAATATAGCAGTGTGTACAAGCAGCTACAAGTTCGATTTCTAAGTCTGTGAGTCTCTTTCTGTTTTGAAGTAAATTCATATGTATAATTCCTTTTTAGATTCCACATATAAGGGATGTCATACAATATTTCTTCTTCTCTGTCTAACTTCAGAGAGAGATTATGTTTTATAGCCAGAGTTGAGAGCCAATAGTTTGGGCAACGATGGGTCAGAAATTTTCCCTTATATTCTTTTGCGTTGCAACCTTCCTGCTTTCAGTCAATACCAGAAAAAAAAAAAAATCCACATTTGGGGGCAATCTCTGTAATTCACCTTTTGTGTTGTAATTCTAGTATACACTCTTCAAAAAGGTAAAGTACAGTAAACTGAAGGACTCAACCTCATCAAGGAAGTGAAAAAGGTGCTAGACCACCCACACAGGTGGGTGCTGTTCTTCTCACGATATAGTTGTTGGCTCATAAACTCCCCTCTGGTGGAGCAGAGTGGTGTGGGAGAGTGAGACCAGTTCTCGGATGCAGGTGAGGTCAGTAGTTTCCTTTGACCCATTTGCTTTTCCAGGCCCAAGGAAGAAGTAACTGTCAAGAAAGAGAAGCGTGAAAGGGACAGAGACCGACAGCGAGAGGGCCATGGACGGGGCCGGGGGCGCCCAGAAGTGATCCAGTCCCACTCCATCTTCGAGCAGGGCCCCGCCGAAATGATGAAGAAAAAGGGTACAAAGCTGCCAGGGCTCTGGGAGGAAGGAATCAGTGGATTTCAGTCCAGACTGCCCAAGAGAAGGACCAGGGTGGTGGTGTCCCCCGCTTGCTCCCAGTTTAGCCTTCCTTGCTGTTGGCTCCTCATTCACTCCTGGTGAACTGTGGGTGGTTTTCCACAGGGAACTGGGATAAGACCGTGGATATGTCAGACGTGGGGCCCTCTCACATCATCAACATCAAAAAGGAGAAGAGGGAAACAGATGAAGAAACAAAACAGATCCTGCGCATGCTGGAGAAGGATGATGTAGGTACCAGCAGACAAGGGAAAGGGGCTGCTTTTGTGATGAAAAGCACTTCCAGGGAACCAGGATGGGGGAAGCTCTCTAATGTCCTGAAAGTCTGGTGAGCGGCAGGAATCTTTGATTGGAAAAGAGCTAAGGTGGACTGTGGGCTTCCCAGGTGGCTCAGAGGTGTAAAGAATCCACCTACAGTGCAGAAGATGCAGGAGACACAGGTTCGATCCCTGGGTCATGAAGATCCCCTGGAGAAGGAAACGGCAACCCACTCCAGTATTGTTGCCTGGAAAATCCCATGGACAGAGGACTCTGGAGGGCTATAGTCGGACACGACCGAGTGACCGGGCAAGGTGGACTGCCCTCCAGGTACGTGCGTATGCTGGCCCTGCTGTGTGACCCCCCGACTTTTCTTTGGCAGTTCATCGATGACCCTGGGCTTAGGAATGACACTCGAAATATGCCTGTGCAACTGCCGCTGGCTCACTCGGGCTGGCTTTTTAAGGAAGAGAATGAGGAAGCAGATGTTAAACCACGGCTGGCTGGCCCCAAGGAAGAGGATATGGAGGTGGATGTGCCTGCTGTGAAAGGTACTCGGTCAGTTACGGTCTTGTCTCCTTTCCTCTAGCCGTTCCTGCAGGAACGAGCCTGCCTGACTGCTGCTGCTAAGTCTTTTCTTAGCACTTCCCAGCCCCTGATGGGAATTGGTGGGCCCAGCCCCAGCTACCTGTTTTCATTTATTTAATTTTTTTTTAAAGAATGAGTTAGTTCCTTTTTTTTAAGGTTTATTTATTTTTGGCTGTGCTGGGTCTTCATTGCTCCACACCAGCTTTCTCTGGTTGCAGCAAGTGGGGGCTACTCTTTGTTGTGGTGTGCGGACTTCTCATTGCAATGACTTTTCTTATTGCCAAGCACAGGCTCTAGGGCGTGCGGGCTTCAGCAGTTGTGGTTCCTGGGCTCTAGAGCACAGGCTCAGTAGTTGTGGCACATGGGCTTGTTGTTCTGCAGCGTGTAGGATCCTCCCCAGACCAGGGTTCAAACCTGTGTCCCCTGCCATTGGCAGGTGGATTCGTAATCACTGGGCCGCCCTGTTTAAATAAGTCACACAAGTATTGGGCCCCTCTTTCTAAGCACAGTTTCCCTCCAGCTTCCTGGCTGAGGGACGGGAGCAGACCCGGCGGACGGGATGGTGTGGTGAGGTGGCTGGAGGTGGCCTCTGATCGCCTTCACGTTCTGTTGTCTTGGGTAGTGAAAGAGGAGCCCCGAGATGAGGATGAGGAGGCCAAGATGAAGGCTCCTCTCAGAGCAGCCAGGAAGATCCCAGGCCTCCCGAAGGATGTGTCTGTGGCGGAGCTGCTCAGGGAGCTGAGCCTCACGCAGGAGGAAGAGCTGCTGTTCCTTCAGCTGCCGGACTCACTCCCCGGCCAGCCACCCACTCAGGACATCAAGCCCATCAAGACGGAGGTGCAGAGCGAGGATGGGCAGATGGTGGTTATAAAGCAAGAGAAAGACCGGGTATGCTCACCAGTGAGGGCTGTGAAGATGCGTGGCACCTGGAGGGGAAATAGCCACCTGGAGGGGGAAGCAGAGGGATGTCGCCCGTGGTGAAATTTGAGAATAATATGCGTTCTTGCTGCCTGCAAGGGGCATGGGGCTTTGTGCTTCAGCCCAAATTGTGTGTGTGTTTATTTTTCACAGTGAGCTGTTTGAACATATACAAATGAGAGAATATAAGTTCTCATGTACCATCACCTAGTTTCAGCAGTTACTGATACTTTGTCCATTTATCTGTGGTTTGGGTTTTTTTGTTTTGTTTATTGACCAGTGGCAGGCATTCCCAGGAAAAGGCCCTCTCTGGGAAGCTCATTCTTTGTTTCTTTTTTTTAAATATTGTTGTTTTTTTAAAGGGCTTCCTTGGTGGCTCAGATGGTAAAGCATCTGTCTGCAATGCAGGAGACCCGGGTTCAATCCCTGGGTTGGGGTGTTAGTTGTGGCATGTGAACTCTTAGTTGTGGCATGTGGGGTGTAGTTCCCTGACCAGGAATTGAACCCAGTTCCCTGCATTGGGAGTTCAGAGTCTTAGCCACTGGATCACCAGGGAAGTCTGGGGAGCTCATTCTAACCTTTGCTGATGCCTCCCTTTGGGAAAGGGTTTGTTCTTGAAGGATGGAGGAGACAGTTCCTCACCCAGTTTCCATC